ATTTTCTGGTTCTTTCTGACTTTGCGTCTGTATTTAGATGGCTTGCTGCGACGCATTTCGAATGCTGTCAGGCTCGGATGGCACTGCCGTGTTTCGACGCTCCCAATTTCAAGGCACAGTTTGACGTGACCCTCGTTCATCCAATGGATATGATTGCATTATCAAATCAGATCGTCGTTTCCAGTCAGGTGTCTAAGTAATTTAGTAAACTCTGTTATCACGAACTTACTGTTTGACCCGTCGCTTATGAATAGCAATTGGAGTACGACTGTGTTTGCACCAACTCCAAAAATGTCTTCATATTTGCTGGCGTTCACCGTCAATGCCTTTACCTATCGCTCCGAATTCACCAAAAGTACGCCGCCAGTTTTAGTAAGTACACAGCAACAGATGCGACCTACACTAATATACTTCAGTTCAGGGTTTGGGCTCCTCCCAACGCGTTCAACCAGACCAAGTTTTCCACTACCGCCGGTCCAGTGGCGTTGGATTATTACGCACAGCAATTTGACCAACCGTTTCCCTTGAAGAAACAAGGTTACGTCGCTTGTGTGTTGTGACTAAAGCATCGACAACCTGCTGAGTGCTTTCAGACATGCTGGCGGTGCCGGACTTCGCCAGCGGTGCCATGGAAAACTGGGGTCTCGTCACGTATCGGGAGACCGCCCTGCTTTACGAACCGACTACTTCGTGGCAGTTGAACAAAGATCGAGTAGCGGAAGTCGTTGCCCACGAACTCTCTCATCAGGTACTGCACGGTTTTCTTGAGGCGTTCGCCACTTTGGTGGTACTTATTAATTTTCTTCGCATCACAGTGGTTCGGAGACCTAGTGACGATGAAGTGGTGGAGCGATATTTGGCTGAACGAAGGATTTGCGACCCTACTCCAGTATTCGGGAGCCGGGGAGATACTCAATGAAAAAGAAAGAATGGCAAGTACTTTTAGGCGAATACGGCATGACATGAAGCAAGGGCATTTTGGTCAGTAAATAACCTATTAACTGCCGTCTTCTTTGATGACGATTGACAAAGCGGTTGCTGGGAGCTTTAAGAAACATTTAAGTACACATTAAAGGTTCGTGTGTTTGTCATTTCATAGACAGGTAACTTAATATCGTAACAATGACTACTATGGAAAACTAGCAGTTTGCCTGTAAACCCATAATATCGGTGTTAATTTTAATGAATAACTATCATTCCTGTTAAACGAGCTGACCATATGATGTGGGCAACGCGTGTGAACGTCATATTTCCACTGATTGTTATTCAAGTAATACTAAGTTTACATTTTGCTCCATTCTCTTCAATCATCCATTCGTCACCTGCAGGTGTCCTTTCTTTCTCGGTTATGAGTCACCGTCCTATGTTAAAATGGGATTCTGCGGTTAATACGAACTGGCCCACCCATTCCTTAAGCTCAACTTTATAGTTGGGCGTCTATTTATTACACAAATTGGTCTGAAGATGTGGGGAGGCATTTCAAACCGCTTTTCCTTATCACGGTCAATTGGCCATTTCAGTAGATCTATAACAAGGCTTTATAATGTGTAAACGAGGCACATTCCGCCGTATTTCGTCCAGGCGTTTTTTGTCGTTCTCGTTTTCTAGATCAACAAAGCTTGAGCGGCAGAGTAGGTCAGGTTCGTCATATGCGACCGTTGGATTTGGAATTTTTGCTCTATTTAATATTTGACTACATATTTCTCTTCCTCAATTATTTCTATCTTGGAAGATACATAGAACTGCCCTCCAATTCATCCATGACATACGGACGGTTGTTACGCAAGAAATAATTTTTAGCACGTTTGCGTTCCCTTTTTGGTCTGTTGTCCAGCCAAGTAAAGTACTGGTCTCTCCGTCCTTCTGTCAGTTTCTTCTGGTTGCTGACCCTACAGCTACACGCTTTTCCCCCAGCGTACCACCGTATCTTGAGGGTCCGTCGAAGACGACTTAGTTGGCAGCTGTCGATGCAAGTTTCTTGACGTTTCAAGGCAGCAGGTGCTTTGAGGATACTGTTCTTGATGCGGTTCTTTTGGCTCAATCTTTCCCTATTTCATACAATTCACAGATATTTGCGGTCCTTCAACCTGATGGTTTAAGTGAGTTGTTGCCTTCCCTCCGCAAAGTAAGTCTTGACGTTTAAAAACAGTGAGTCGCTGCTCAGAATTCCCGCACCGGTACGTCAGCGATTTTCATTCTGCGAACAAATCTACTGTTCCGCCATGGCAAAATATGATCAAGCTGCTGACGCGTCACTGGTCCTGTAACTACGGGCAGGAGTGCTAGCCAATTCTAAGAAATTACGGTAGGATGAACTGCAAGACTAGGTCTAACCTTAGTGAATAAGAAAAAAAGCCTTGGCACTATTTTTGCATATTATTTTAATGTTTTAGCATACTTAGCTGCAAGGCTTTTAACTCACGATTAATCGTATCATTTATGGCCGAGCCTGGCCTGAATTTCTCGTAGATTTACATGCTTCACTCATATTTTCTTTCACTTTCGACATGAAGTACCCCTTTTGAAGAGCAAAAGATTGTAAATACGAATGAATAACAGACGACGTCATCCACAACAGACAGTAGAACCTAATCCCGGTATTCAGGGTTTACTAGCAAACTGCTAGCGTTCGATGCCGCCGTCAAGAACAACAGTATTGCGTCACTTACCCGGATTCGCACGTTACAGCAGCACTGTCTTTGCTTGTATTAGTTTATGATCGTATTAACAGGCTATCAGCTGCTTGGTATTCTAGCACATGCATTACGTAACGCAAAACTGCACCACTGTATTGGGTCGAACTAAGGCATGGCCCAACCCAACGCATCTACCTCTACCCTTAGGCATATCTAATAAAACTAACTCTGATACTATGGGTTTAATGTCATGAAGAGAAGCGTTCGCGATTTGGGAGAAATTAACGTAAAGTTTACTAGGAACATCAATATCGAATAAGTGAGATCGGGTTTCGACAACGTATGCCAGGAGTCAGATACGGTAGTTTAGACACGTGATTCACGATGATTTCTGATTTCTCTGATGCTAGGTCAGAAGCTGCCAATCACCGGCCGATGAATGGTCCGCCCATGGCGATGTAAATTTATTTCCACCGAAAATTACTGTCTCCTCCTCTCCAAGCTTTTCGTTAAATCTGTTCAGATTTTGACAGTTTCAATCAGCTGTCTATGCGCATAATATGACTGGAAATCATGAACTATTCCTACGCCCGAGTATGTCAAATTACGAATGACTCCTCCAAGACCAGATTTCAGGGCTTATTACTCCGCTCCATTGTTCCTAGTTGCTTATGGTGGCCATTTAACCAGACCATGGTTCAATCGTATCTGAGCACATGCAATATAAAATGCATCTCGCATCATTTTGTTCGGTAGAACCAGTCGTGCTCATTGCCAATGAGGTTTCAGGAGTTGATACTTCATATATGCTACCCCAAAAACATCATGACGCGGACAAAACGACGCGAGATGCCTCCGGTACTGCAGTTGCTAAAATTTAATACAGTTTTGGCTTGTTAAGTAACTCCCGTAGGCAATTGAGAGTACGGAGGTGGTAAAAAATGCCGAGAAATCTGGTCTCGGATGAGTCATTCATTTAATGTTGCTTAATAATTGAAGATACATCAGTCTTCTTTCAGCACTCGTTATTCGGTGTTTCTCAAATCAGCCAAGGGTTTTGCACTACCGAAGTCAATTAGGTGGTTTATCTGGCTATAGTGACGTGCTAAATCAGGAGGTATCCTGAGTTTGCTAAGTTCTTCCTCATTCTTTATGGAAAATTTTATGCAATGTTTTTTTTGGACATATCACAGCATGAGCTGTTTCAGTGAATGTTAGATGACCAAAAGAATCTAATCTGATTTTTATGGGGTTAATACGGACAACGGTTGAGCTCTTCCTTAATGGTTTGTACTGAAACACGTCTTCTCAAGCACAGACATGCCTTAGAATACTCCTTAAACGTTAAAGGGTCATACACACGTAAAAAATCTGTTAATTCAAGGTTTTCTTGGAGTCCTTAACCGGCTTAGAAAATTGCGCTAGCACTGGCCGTGCTTTGCACTGGCTTGCTACCTCTTAATTAAGTCTTTTCATTGCCATCGCAAACAACCTTCCTCGGTCCATTGCTGTATGGAGTACGTATTGTATATATGGAGTACATGTAATGTATGTATGGAGTTGTTTATGTTGAAATTGCACCCGTCTCTCCAATATAAATATGACCTACCGGTAATTAATCTGTAGTACTTCATCTTGTGCTCATGCTCCAAATGTTTCCTTCTCGCTGGTTCCATGTATTTAAGCTTGTAGTGAAGCGCCCTCATTGCAGACTGCTGGCCATGCCTCTTCATGCACGCAGATCAGCTCATTGCAGTCTCAGTATCTTCACACCAGTATTCAGCTATTGACGTGAATATCATCGCTGCATTCAATTATAGAATGAAGTTTTCCCGGTTGAAAAAGTGCAAAGCGCACTGGCACTCGATCAAATGTCCACCACTCACTCGATATACGACCCAGACGTGTATTCACCTGATCAAATTCAGTCCGTCTTCGATGCGATTACCTACGACAAGGTAGGTCTTCTCTAGTTTCCGTGGCGAAAATCACCTCCATCGTTAAAGGGCGGCTCCCTACTGAGAATGCTGCAACACTTACTGTTGGGTAAAGACGGCAAAGACGTGTTCAGTTTGGCCCTTCAGGTAAAATTAATATGAAATATTTATGCAATAAGCCCGTTTATTGAAGCTATACCTGCAAAGGTATAAATACGGCAATGCTGATCATAACGATCTGTGGCAAACCATGGACGAAGTAAGCCATGTAGCTCACCGTCATGATCACTAACGAAATTTATTCAGGTCATTCAAAAGGAAGAACCACGGAAAGACTGGGATGGAAACCCCTTAAATCTCCAAATTCTGATGAACCCTTGGATCGAACAGGAAGGCTTTCCGCTGGTGACAGCAAAACGTGAGGGCAATGTGGTAACACTGTTCCAGGAAAGGTTTTTACTCGATCACAACATTACTTTACAGACCAAGTACTTTATTAATGGTTTGGTACTGCGATTTATGCAAATGAGCTTTCAGTTTTACATGGTATATTCCAATATGGTACGTGCAAGTGGGAAACAAAAACTCGACTATGGTTTGGATAAAGAAAAGTGCGCCTTCCGTCATTACGCTAAAATCTAATGAGCCGCTCATCATGAATTACAAGCAGTTAAGCTACTGCCGGGTTAATTATGATGATAAATCATGGGCTCAAATTACAGAACTGCTTACGCAGAAGCCAGAAGTAACTTTTAGAATATTTAAATTTGGTTTTTCAACAAAATTTTATTTTCATGACTTTCATCATAGCAACAACACAAGGGTTATATCTTCCGTTGATTATCATAATAGATAGTCAGCGATCAGATAATGGACGAACTGTAACCCTCAAAGGTACCCCAGTCTGACAGTATTACTCTGCATGTCGTACATTCTGGTATGATTGCACCAGAATACTTTGCTGTATCTGTGTTTGTGAGTCAGCGATC